TATGCCTGAAAAATCCGGAAAACCTTCAGGACAATTAATTTTTGTTTATGTAGAATTTTTCCTATTAAAAGTCATTATTCACTTTGAGTTACCTTTTGAAAGAGGTCAAGAAATAGCCAGGCATGTAAACCAAAATGTAACTCCGGCATTTGTGAAGCACAGGCAGGAGAATAGACATGAGTCTGAGGCTAACCTATGCTGCAACGTAACCTTGTCTTAAAAAACAAAAAAAGAAAGGAAGGAAGAAAGAAAGAACACAAGCTGTTAAGATGACTTCATGGGCAAAGGCACTTGTCAAACCTCATGCCCTAATTTGTCCCCAGGACCCTCATCATGGAAGGAGAGAACCAGCTCTCCCCGGTTGTCCTCCTACTCCACATGCACACTGTGCTGTAAACCCACATACACAGACGGTAATAAATAAAATTAATACACAGAAAATAAAAGTGGTTTTGAGATTGGAGAAATTATTATAGCTGATATTTTATCTTAAAAAGGAGATGGCAGTTTCTAAAAAATAGGAAGAAATATGGTTATAAAACAGAGGCCTAGGAGAAGAACTTTTGCTTTTGAATTTATTTTTGTATGGCCATGGGGTATTGATAAAACTGATCTGATTAGGAAATAGATACATTTTCAATAAATGATTATCTCAGTAACGCTAGAAATTACCACCAAAAGAGTAGTTTCCTTTTCATGTTTTTACCCAAAAATCAAAATCAAAATACAAAAACCACCAGTATCAAATAGGTCTGTGTAACTAACACCAACATTAATGAGTAGTGTGAAGATTCATAAAAGTTCTGTGCTGTCTCCAAAGTGGTGCTGAGAATTAAAAATCCACTAATAATGCCTTACTTAACCTCAGAGAAAACAAATCAAAACAACAACAAAAACCTAACCATGCCAAAACAAAACCAACAATGAACTCTTAGCTCATCAGAACCAGTGAATGATGCACTGAGGTATAATTTGTCTCACGGGCAGCAGACAACGGTATTTCCTGCTTGCGTTCTGTTCTGTTGGCTCCCCTCCACTTCCTTTTGTTGCTGGATGGGATGTCTTAAGCCTGTTCAATGATTGTTGAAATATTTTGGGTAAACTAGAGAATGAGTCTTCACATGTAGTATTTTCTGTGGAAAAGTAGTTCTTTTAAAAAGTTACTCTTTATTTGTGTGTGTGTGTGTGTGTGTGTGTGTGTGTGCACTAGCATATGTGCACATGCGTACACACTTCTGAAAATCAGAGGACAGCTTGTGGGAGCTGGTTCTCCCCTTCTACCATGTGGCGCCCAGGGATTGAAGTCAGGCCACTAGGTTTGGCATCAGGTACTTTTACCCACTGAGCCATCTCACTAGCCCCAAATATTGATTTCTGTAACATCGATATATTATGTATGATATCTATTATAATGCAATTTCTGTAATATAATTTCTATAATAACCGTGAAACACAGTTGACTAGATGTTGAAAGCCTAATCCCCTGCCTGGCTCCCTTCACCCATGTGAAGAGTTTTTCTCTAATTAATGTAACATGAGGGGGCCTACTTGTTTGTGGGTTTCTGTCCCGCCCGGTCCCCCAGCCGTTTAGTCAAAATAAAAAAACACACTGAAATCTCTGTCAGTAATAAAGCTGATTGGCCCCTTAGTTCTAGCCTCTTACTGGCTAACTCTCACATCTTGATTAACCCATTTTTCTGATCTATGTTAGCCATGTGGCTCAGTACCTTTTTCAGTGGGGCAGCTCACATCCTGCTGCTTGGATGGTCTGGGCGGGAGTGGGAGGAATCAACCTCCTCCTCCCCAGAATTCTCCTGCTCTCCTTGCATCATTTCCACTTCCTGTCTGGTTTCCCTGCCTACACCTCCTGCCTGGCCAATCAGCGTTTATTTAAAACATATTTGACAGAATACGAACAATTCTCCTGCACCAAATTAAAAGTTATTTTAGTTGGTGTTGCTGGTAATATATCATTTGACAATATCTTTCCCTCTAAAGTTTGTGTATCTGATATAGTGTTTTTTAATTTTTTGGAAACAAAGTTTCTCTAACTGATTATTAGTCAATCCAAAGGTATTTGCTTATGGAAGTTCAGCTAAAACCTATAATTTGGAAATATAAACCAACAAAAAACAGTTTGTAATTCAGTGTACCTGCTAAAAGCTAAATAAAACATCCAAAGTCAGTTTTTGTTAGAGAGCTTCCAGATATCTATATTACTGCCTAGCTTAAATTATTATGTATTTTATTATTGTTATTCTCTTTGCTTTGGAAACAAATGTGCAGGTGCTTGAAGGACTTGTGCTGTGGGAATCTAGTTATTGGGGCTTTGCCGTCTATATATTCTCATCTACATCAATGCTTCACATGAGTCTCTGTAGCTTCCATGCTAGACATTCTTTTTTTGTGGCGTTTGTTCTTGATGTATTTTGAGAGACCGAGGTTTTCTGAAAGGACATGAAAGAAGTCAGCCTTAAGACTGTTTACACATTGCTCCATCCAAGTCCATGCTGCCTGCGGATTGCAGAGCGGGAGGAGTCAACTTCAAAGCACATCTGGCTGTTGTTACAAAATCAGAAAATAGATTGCTTATTTTCCCTAAATAGACTCAAGAACATGCTTTTCTTTGAATATTTACCAAACTCAGTGTATTATGAATGAATAAGAACAGCAGAATATTGTTACCAGTTTTCATGTTTTTTTGTTGTTTTTATGAATTAGAATAGACATTTTTCTTTATTCATCAGTTTGAAAAAATAATTCATAATAATAGAAGCCCTTAACTTCTTTTTTTAATGCTTTTAAAGATGAAGGTGGTGGAGTAAGCCTTTTTTCTCTAGAGTTGAAATGCTGCATTGTAATTAACTAGACCAATATTTTGTGTCCTGCTTATAAATGTAGAGCTGGGCAAAAATAAGTCACAGATGGTTTCCTTGGCTTTTGGTTTTAAATCTAAACTTAATTAGAGCTTGAGCATCTTTGAGACTTATTTTTCCTCTTCCTGTTTCTCCTCATATTTAATTCAGTTTCATGAGTTAAAGCTGGGTGTGTTTATTGATGTGTGTGTGTCTTTAGCAAACTCACTTTCTGTGTTCCCCAAATGAAGAATGTTAACTTCCTTCTCACGTGTACTTTCGGACAGCAGATATTTGCTGGATGTATTTTGTTGCTGCCAGAAGGTTGCTGCCTGTATTTAAGCAGCTGTGCATGTGCAGTTCGACACCTCCTTCTCTGGCACAGTGCTTTAGCCACTTAACAAAGGCTCTGTTGTGATTCATGCATCTTCTAAAAATGCTTTGCATCTTGAGCACCGAAGTCAGACTTCCACACAGTCAACATACAGTGTTGCCAAACATACAGTTGTGGTGACTTTGTACTTTTTGCTAATTCTGTTGAGGCTTGGGATCTTTATTTGACTACTTTCATGTGGATTTTGGAATTACTATTTCCTCTCTCTTCATTGTGATGTAGGCACTGCTAATAGGCGTTATTTGGTTTCATTGTTGGTGTATGTTCAGGACGAGGACAAAATTTAAATTCATATGGTTTCCAGTACCTTTATGGGATCTAGTCTCTGGGTGAAGAAACCCATGTGCATGTTTTCCTCTTCTAGGGAGTAAATAAAATGCATATATTCTTCAGATCCCGCCTACTCTTATACCAGACTCTGCGATTTTAAATTCCGATTTTTTAAGTTTAGTTCCTCTGTTTTCATCAATTGACTCTTGATTTGTCTTTGCCTTTTATGTCAAATTGAGTGTATATACCTTCACAATTATATAAAATATTGCCTTTTGAAAACCAGTTAGAGTTTTGGAAAATTGAATTGAATAAGATACATATAAAAAAGCTTGTCACTTAATCCTAATTGTGTAATTCAGGGTAAGCACCTCTTCTTCTTTTGGAGTCATAGTGTTCTTTTCATTTTGTGGTTGTTGCTGTAGCAAGTTGTGAGTTTATGCTGTGAAAAAATTAGACTTTTCTGGAAATGACTTTTAATTTTTATTTTATTCGTAAATGAAACAGTTGGCATAGAAATGGCTTTGTTTAGCATAAAGCAATTCAAGAAATCTTGACAGAAATACGTTAAATATGTGTTAGATAACAGAGGTGTCCTTGTACTCAGTCTTCCCAAAGATGTGTGTGGAAACATACTGTTGAACACTCAGGGTATTATGTAAGGACCTTGAAAGTGAACCCAGGATGCTTTAGGAGCTGCTGAGAGGTGGGACCGAATGTCGTTCCTTCTCTCCCCCCCCCTTCCCTAAGAATATCTTTGGGCACTAGAGTGGGTGTTGGAAATAGACTGGAGAATGTGGCAATCAGTCTTTGTTTTTTTGAGTCCACTTTCTTTTGGTGACAATGGGTGCTAGGTCATAGAAAGAGGTGAGCATCCAGGGTTGCACTAGCCTGGTAAGAGCTAATTTTCCTAGGGACCCTATTCTGACTCAGTGAGTCTTGAAGAAGGTGGGAGAATGACTGCAGCTTTTAGAAGATGCTGTTTTCATGGTAAAACAAGTTGTTTGGTGCCCTTGGAATGTGGAGTAAGTTTGGGGATAGTGAAGCTGAAAAGATAGATTTAGGGAGAATCTCACGGGAATTTCATGTCCTCATTTATGCTATGAGTTACAGTTAAATAGTTGTGTCTCTAGCATGTCTGGGGTGTAGTGACTAAACTGAGATTTAAAAAATGAATACATGTATGCTTAGAGGACTTGGGGGTATAAACAAACAGGCAGATGGGCACATGTTCTGGTAACATAGTCATTCAGGATTTGGTAAATGTGAAACGTGGAACAAAGAGCAGTGGATGAGAGTGGGCACTGAGGTAGAGGGCCAAGAGGTACATAAACCCAGAGAGGAAGTTCACGGAAATAATTGTATGTATGCTACTATAAAAATAAACTAAATATTAAGATATGCAGAAGACATTTTCACCTAGAAAAATGTATTTTATTCAAACGACTCCAGGATTCATGTCTTTATTTATAATTTTTCAGATAGAAAATCCTCGGTACCTGAGACAGAAGCCTCTCCCAGTTTCTCTGGTAGGTGATGATTTCACTGGGCTTTTTCTAGGGACAGGTATCTTTAAATAAAATATGAAGTTTTAAAAATGTAAAATAATGTAGGCCCACATCGGAAAGTGTAATAGTAATTTTAATCCTGCAACTTAGACATGAATGAATCCCCCTATTTTCTTCAAGGCTAACATTGTTTTGAAATGAACTTCAGAAACTTTATTAGTTTATTTTTAAAGAGCTGGTAAACTAGTCCTGGGAAGTTTTAAATAACTCTTACTGGTTCTACAGATAACTCCAAAGGTCAGCCTGAGAAAGTCTAGCAGTCTTCATGATGAGCATTTTCTCTCTCGAATGCATGAGAAAGAGGTAGGATTGTCTTATTTCTCACATGTCTAGTAGTGAACACAGTTGATATTGTGTAATAGGAGTGTTCAGACTCTATACAGATGTGCTGCACAGGAGAAAGAGGTTAGTTATCTGGGCTCAAAACCAAATCAGTGCAGACCAGGCTGGGCTTGCTGTTAAAGATTTTAATATGTATCTCCCATCTTGTCTGCTGCAGCTCTATTCTCCTAGGCAGGCTTGTGATGCAGGATTCTTTCCTGACTTCAGATTATGATGATCAGGAGGCAGAGACAATGTCAGTTTTAGAATGAGTGTGTTTAACCTCAGTGAATCCATGCATCCTTTCTATCTGCTTACTGATGTGGGATTTCCCTCTGTATGCTGCGAATATGTTTTATTACTATTGGTTAATAAAGAAGCTGTTTGGGCCAATGGCTTAGCAGAATATAGCCAGACTGGAAGACATAAAGAGAGAGACTAGGTGGAGTCAAAGAGACTGCATGTAACTGCCAAAGGAGACAGACACTGAACCCTTAAGTAAGCCACAGCCTCGTGTCAATACACAGATTAATAGAAATGGGTTAATTTAAGATGTAAGAGTTAGTTAATAAGAAGCCTGAGCTAATAGACCAAACTGTGTTGTAATTAATATAGTTTCTATTTGATAATTCGGATCTGAGCGGTTGGGAAACAAACGAGTGGTCTTGGCTTACAAAATGGCCCCCATTTTTTTATTTTTTATTCTCATCATTCTTGCTCTTTAATATTTATTTACTTATTTATTTATTCATTTACTTACTTATTTTACAACCCTACTACTGTTTCCCTTTCTTCCTGTACTCTCAGAACTCCCTACCTCTCCTCTGTCCTCCTCCCATCTACTTCTCCTCCATTTCTATTAAGAGGAAGGCAGGCCTCCCATGGATAGCAACCTAACATGGCATATCAAATTGAAGGCTGGATGAAGGAACTCAGCATGAGGAAAAAGGTCCCAACAATCAGCGAGAGTCAGAGACAGCCCCTGCTTCCACTGTTAGGAGTCTCACAAGAAGACTAAGCTATACAACTGTAACATATATACAAAGGATCAGTCTCTTGCAAGCAAACTCACTGGCTGTTTGTTCGGTCTCTGTGAGTCTCTATGAGCCTGAGTTAGTTGATTCTGTGAGTTTTCTTGTGATGTCCTTGACCCTTATGGCTCCTACCCTCCTTCCTCCTCCTCTTCAGCAGGATTCCCCAGATCTGCCTAATGTTTGGCTGTGAGTCTGCATCTATTTTCATCAGTTGCTGGATGAAGGCTCTCTGATGACAATTGGGCTAGGCACCAATCAGTGACTATAGCAGATTATCATCAGGAATCATATCACTGATTTTTTTTTTCAGTCATGTCTCATTCTATCCTAAGTATCTCAGCCATTCAGCCTTTGGGTCCTGGCCCTCTAGGCAGCATCAGGGGTGGACTTTCTCTCATGGCATGGGTTTCAGGATGGCCATTCATTGTTTGGTCACTTCCATAATTTCTGCACCACCTATACCCCAGCATGTCTTGTAGGAGGGACAGATTGTAGGTTGAAGGTTACAGACTGGGTTGGTGTCTCAGTCCCTCTGCTGTAAGTCTTCCTGGTTACAGGAGAGGACTAGTATTCAGCTCCATATCCCCCATGGCTAGGAGTCTTAGCTAGGGCCACCTTCATAGATTTTTGGGAGTTCCCATTTCACTAGGTTTCTAGCTAATCATAGAGATGCCTCTCAATGCCAGTTTTGTCTTTCACTACTCTCATCCTTCATCCTTCCCCAACCCGATCCCTCCTGTTCCTGACTGTCTACCCCTTCCTTCACCCTCGATGTCTATTCTATTTCCTCTTCCCAGGAAGACTTATACCTTCCACACCCTTGAGTCCTCCTTGCTATCTAACCTCTCTGGGTCTGTGGATTCTAGCATGGTTATCCTTTACTCTACAGCTAATAACCACTACAAGTGAGTATATACCATGTTTGTCTTTCTGGTTCTACCTGGTTACCTAACTCAGGATGATTTTTTTTTCAAGTTCCATACATTGTCTGCAAATTTCATGACATCAGTGTTTTTAATGGCTGAGTAATATTCCATTGTATAAATGTACCACACTTTCTTTATCCATTCTTTGGTTGAGGGGCATCTAGGTTGTTTGTAGAAGATTATAAATAAAACTGCTATGAACATGAGCAAAAGTCCTTGTGGTATGGTATGACTGAGCATTCTTTGGGTATATTCCCAGGATTGGTATAGCTGGGTCTTAAGGTAGATCTATTCCCAATTTTCTGAGATGCCACCATATTGAGTTCCAAGGTGGCTGTACAAGTTTGCATTTCCACCAGCAATGAAGAAGTGTTCTTCTTGCTCCACATCCTTGCCAGCATTTGCTATCACTTGTGTTTTTGATCTTAGGCCATTATGACAAGTGTAAGGTGAAATTTCAGAGTTGTTTTGATTTAAATTTCCCTGATGGGTAAGGATGTTGAATATTTATTTTAAGTGTTTCTTGGCCATTTGCGATTCCTCTGTTGAGAAGTCCCTGTTGAGAATTCCCTGTTTAGATCTGTACCCCATTTTTTATTGAATTATTTAGTTTGCTAATATCTAGTTTCTTGTGTTTTTATATTATTTAGAAATTAGACCTCTGTCTGACGTAGGGTTGGTGAAGATCTTTTCCCATTCTATAGGCTGCCAATTTGTTGAATTAATTATGTCCTTTGTCTTAGAGAAGCTTTTTAGTTTCATGAGGTTCTATTTAAAATTGTTAGACTTAGTGCTGGTGCTGTTGGTGTTCTGTTCAGGGAGTTGTCTCCTGTTTCAATACATTCAAGACTATTCCCCACTTTCTCTTCTATCAAGTTCATTGTGTCTGATCTTATGTTGAGGTCTTTGATCTACTTGGACTTGAGTTTTGTGCTGGGCGATAGATATGGTAAATTTGCATTCTTCTATATGCCAACATCCAGTTAGACCAGCACCATTTCTTGTTCTTTTTTCCATTGTATAATTTTGACTTCTTTGTCAAAAATCAGGTGTCTGTAGGCGTGTGGATTTATGTCTGGATCTTCAGTTCGTTCCATCGAGGCACCTGTCTGTCTGTTTTATGCTAATACCATGTGGTTTTTATTACTGTAGCTCTGTAGCAGAGCTTGAAATCAGGGATGGTGATACCTCTGGAAGTTCTTTTATTGTACAGTATTGTTTTAGCTATCTGGATTTTTTTGTTTTTTCTGTATGAACTTGGGTATAGTTCTTTTAATGACTGTAAATAATTGTGTTGAGATTTTGATGGAAATTGTATAAAATCTGTAGATTGCTTTTGATAAGATGGACATTTTTACCGTGTTAATGCTACCGATCCCTGAGCATGGGCAATCTTTCCATCTTCTGATATCTTCTTCAATTTCTTTCTTAAAAGGCTTTAAATTCTTATCCTATAGGTCTTTCACTTGCTTGGTTAGAGTAATTTTTATATTATTTGTGGCTATTGTAAAAGGTGTTGTTTCCCTAATTTTTTTCTCAACCCATTTATTGTGTATTGGAGGACTACCTATTTCTTTGAGCTTATTTTGTATCCAGTCACTTAATCAGCTGTAGGAGTTCCATGGTATATTTTTTTTGATAATTTATATATAATACTATCATATCATCTACAAATGTTGATACTTTGACTTCTTCCTTTCCAATTTGTATCCCCTTGATCTCCTTTAGTTGTCATAATATTGCTCTAGCTAGAACTTCAAGTGCCATATTAAATAGATATGGAGAGAATGGACAGCTTTGTCTTGTCTTTGATATTAGTGGAATTGCTTTAGGTTTCTCTCCATCTAATTTGATATTGGCTCTCAGCTTTCTATATATTTCCTTTATTATTTTTAGGTTTGTTCCTTGTATCTCTTGTCTCTGTAAGACTCTTATTATGAAGGAGTGTTGGATTTTTTTTAAAGTAATTTTATTAAATTATAAAAGTTTCCATTTCCGCCCCACCTCCCAACACCCTCCCACTCCCCCCACTCCCTCTCCTCCTCCCTCTTCCTCCCTAAGGGCAGACAGGGTTTCCTGCCCTGTGGGAAGTTCAAGCTCCTCCCCCCTCCCTCCAGGTCCAGGAAGGTGAGTATCCAAACAGACTGGATCCTCAAAATCCAGTATATGCAGAGGAAACAAGTCCCAGTGTCATTGTCAATGGCTTTTCAGAAAGACTCCAGGCCAGCCACATTCAGAGAATCCGGCCACATTCAGAGAATCTGGTTGGATCACGTCCTCGTTCAATCCCAGTCCAACTGGCCTTGGTAAGCTCTCATTAGATCTGTCCCCTTGTATCAGTGCGTCCCTCGCAGTCCTTATTTCCTTTTTCATTTTCTTCGTCCTTCTGCTCCTCATTTGGACCTTGGGGGGCTCAGTCCGGTGCTCCAATGTGGGTCTCCGTTGGTATCGCCATCCATCGCCAGATGAAGGATCTATGGTGATAAGCAAAATATTCATCAGTATGGTTATGGGCCAAGGCCGGTTCAGACACCCTCTCCTCTGTTCAGAGAACAATCTGGGGATCTCTCCTTGGACCTGGGATCCCATATATAATCAAGTCTCCTGTAATCCCAAAAATGATTCCCTTAGTTAAACTATATTCTTCCCTGATCCCATATTCATCCTTCCTCCCTCCCCCACATCCCGGTCCACCGAGCTTTCCCCATTCCTCCCCTACTCCCTTCTTTCTAACCGTCTCCCCTTCCAACAACCTTCTCACCCCCCCCCATGCACCCGAGGTTACCTGGGACTCTTGTCTATTTCCTACCTCCTGGCGGATAGCTAAATAATCTTCATCAGGTTCATCTTCTTATTTAGCTTCTCTAGGATCACGAATAACAGGCTCAAAGACCTTTAATTATGGTTAGAAACCACTTATGAGTGAATACATACCGTGTTCCTCTTTTTGGGTTTGGCTTACCTCACTCAGTAAAGCGTTTTCTATTTCCATCCATTTGCATGCAAAATTCAAGATGTCATT